TAAGAACTGCATGTGTAATTCATACCACATGCATATTTAGTTCATATTAAATGCATTGTACTGGATGCATATGTACTCCATACATACTGCACACCAGGGGCAAGAGGTCAACGCGAAAGTCAACGGTCAACGTCGGAAGTCAACGATTTTCGCCGGAAGTCAACGGTTAACGCCGGAAGTCAACGGTCAATGCCGGGGTCAACTAATAATTATTTTATTATTTTATTAATGTATATTTTGATTGATTTTGATCTAGACAAAATGAGTGGCTAAGATTTTAAGGAGTTGACTCATTTTAAGGAGTGAACTCATTGGATCCACCACCCATATATATATATCATTATATAAAAAGAATAACCTTTTTTTAAAAAATGCAGGTCAACATCCTGGTCAAATCTCTCTCATCACTAATTACTTTCTATTAATAGCATATTATTTCTTTGTTCATCAATTCATGCGATCAGCAATAAATTGCATACATTTTTTTAAACTTTCTCTTATCACCAGCCTTTAATATCTCCGGTGAATTTATATTTCTATAGTCTGTTACACATTTATAATATTGTTACATCTAAACTTCCTATTATGAAGGAATTTGTTCATTTCCAAATTCAACATCATTAATTATTATAAACTATGCACGTGCAAAATTAACATAATATGCCTCAAAGCTCGGTATTATTAAAAACATAATTCTATCCTTAATAAAAAGTTATTTAAACGTGAAGTTGGAAATAATTCCATTCTGTGTAGTATTCGAATAATACCAATATTTACGCATAATGTTTTTATTATATTAGGCTTATTATATTTTAAATACTTTAAACAAATAAGACATTTTTTTTACATATTCGTTTATATATATATATACATACGTATACACATCTATATATATATAAAAAAGAATTACCATTTTTTAAAAATAGTAGGTCAAATTCTGGTCAAATCTCAATTAGTATTAATTACACTCCATACTTAGTAACTTCTTTGTTTAAAAAAGAAAAATCAGCATTAAACGCTACCCTAAAATTATGGTATTTGTTACTTTTCTTTCAAAAAATTGTGCTACCTTAAAGAAACAATATTACATACAATAAATTTTTGGCTAACTAAAGTGTTTTGTTTGGAAACTATTATATTTTAATTAAAACTAATTACGGCTGATTTAATCTTGAAATGGTACAACAATTTTATTTTTTTTTAATATGCACCCTAAATTTATATATTTTGTGGATTTAATTTAGGTAAATTTCGACTGATGCAAAAGTCAATTTTCTTTCTATATTTTTATTAAAAAACCTGATTAAAATAAAATCACGAATTTCGAATTAGGCAAAATACTATCACATATATCTTTTACTAATTGCAACAAATAAATTATTTATTATAAAAATCGGATTGCATAGTCGGCATGACAATATTGTAAAAGTCAAAATTCTTTCATTTTTTTATTAAAAAAATCTGTTTACCATACAATCGAGAATTTTGAATTAGACAAAATACTATAACATGTATCGTTACCTAATTGTAGCAGATCATGTTTATTAAAAAAAATCGGATTACATAAAAATCGGGCCAAATTACAAATTAAATTTAAGAATCTTTTATCATTTGATTACTACTTTATTTAATTCGGACTTTTCTTAAACATAAAACAAAGTCATATAATATTAATTTGAAATTCAAAATGAAATTGGATTGTGACATCCTAAAAATTTGGGTTTTGTTTAATTATCTAGACAAAATTAAAATTGATTGAATACACTTACAAAATAAATAATGATTTCATACACTTACAAAATATCGTATATATTCTGCTAAATAATTTAATCGTTTTATTTAAGACTATCTATAATCTTAATATAATTTGTGGCTATAGACGATGTACCAAAAGGCCAAACAAATAATTTTGTGTACAATGATGTGTTTAATAATATATAACATTACATTGTGTATCATTTCAATATATGTATTTTACGTTCTTCCAATCATCCAAATTTAACTGCTTACCTTAATGAAACTAGCTCAGTGCATCGCACGGGTGCCACACTAGTATACATAATTGATGTTAAATTTGAATATTTGTAGACATGTTTTCTTTACAAAATAGTCTAGAAAAATCTTTTTTACACAAGTTAAATTCAAATGTTTTTAGATATGTTTTTCTTCTAAAATTGTTTAGAAAAGTTGTAGGTGACTTCACATCTTTAAAAAATAATATAAAAAAATTGATTACTTTTACATATACTAATATAATATTTTAGGTGTTTTTAATATTATACATACAAATTTTATATCCTCTTATACAAAATAATGTAAATTTTATATTCTCTTATACAAAATAATTTTACATTGTTTGACCCCAAATCTTTAATTTATAATTATTAAGTATTGTTTATTCTCTTTGTTAATTTATAATTATTATTTTGTTCTTACTCTTTTTAAATATGATCAATAGTAGTTTCCACTTCCGCCATTGAGTGATTCAAACTCGAGGTCTATTTATAATATTGTTAATCTAATATTGTTCCCGTGCATCGCACGGGGTACACATTAATATATTAAAAAATGTTGATGTTTAATTTAAAAATGGAAAGTTGACTTTTTTTATTAGTTTGACTAACTCACAAAGGAATTTCTGAATAAAATTAAAATTGACCTTTTCTACTTTTATGTGAAATTTAGTTTTCAAATTGCATGACAAAATATTGCCCAATCCAATCTTCAAAATGAAAGAAGTGCCAAGGCTTATTCATGTTTTAGAGCCTCAATCTTATTTTGTTGAATTTTAATTTAAATCAACAAAAATAAAGTTTGTTCTATTCTAGAGAATAGCAAATTTGTCTGAAAGTCGTCAAATTTTCTCTAAATAGAGGAAGGAAGACGTCTATACTTCCATCTCCGTTGATGGAGGGGAGAAGAAAGATCATCCCCTCTATCGGAGAAAATGAAGGCATGAAAATGAAGGGGCCCCCGCACCCGAAATCAAGGTCATAAAATGGAAACCTCAGCCAGCTATCCACCTCCAAATTTGGCCACAATATTGACTCATCTGTATCAGAAACTGCATTTGGGATGAGGTCCTCTTGTCTAACCTTGTGGTTCGCAAAGTCGATAAAGGACTTGAAATACTTGTCGTCCACCTCTACAACTGCCTCGTGCAAAACCGTAGCCGCATACGAAAGTGGCTCCTTCAAGAGATCCTCAACCTTGGCTCTCGCGAAAGCCCACAAGACCAAATTACCGAAATAGTCATCTGGCACCATAGGGTTCATCCGCGTACGACCGTCAACGGAAACCCTAACTTGGGTGGTCTCAAACCCGCTCAAGCCTCGCGCCTTGGTTATGGATCTCCAAAGATGGGCCATGAGGCTCTCAAACGTGCTAAAGGGCTTGCAACTAGTCTTGTTCATTGAGGAAGCCCTAGCCTTGAGCTTAGAAAGAAACTCTGCACTATAGTGTACTTTGTGGACCACAATATCATCTAAACTATTATCGATAAAGGGGTACGCCTTCTTGAAGTTTTTAGTTACGTATTCCACCCCGATGTGCACGAAATCGATCTTGGGAGGATTTCGAGGGACGAACATCGTGCGGCCGTGAAGCGACTCCTGCAACTTCCCAAGCCCGCGGCATGCACGACCCCATGCGACCAGGAAGTTGCTGGTCGCATGCCCGTCAGCTACCAGATGGTGGGTTGTGAAGCCCACTACCATGGACCCACATGAGAACCGCGTGACTTGGGCCTGGAGAAGCTCTACCACACCCTCCAGGGTGGGGTGGAGGCTCAGGAGGGATGCCGAGGGCCCGAAAGTCACCGTTTCGTCTAGATCATGGTCGACCGACGCTTCCACGAACCTAACACCCTCGTCATTGAGAAATATAACGGGTTCGCCGTTGGTGTCCTTTCCGAGCCTGCCGGCCCACTCGCGGTACACGGCTAATACCTTTCTGAGCCCTAGCTCGATAATAGAGTTGGGTGGGGTTGGGGGACGATAGGCGTAAATAACGGCCACGTGTTGGTCGTAGGTGACCTTGTCAAAGACGGATAAGGGAATGTGGGTTGATGTAAGAGGAGGGTTTGCATCGTAGGATGGCTTGAGGAGCCTTGACCTTGTTATTGTCACTTTCATGGTTATTGGTTTGTTCGATTGTTTCTAACTTGAACGCAAGGGAAATGAGTGAGATTTTGGTTTGTGCTTTGTGGAGGCCACAACGAGGGGTTTATATATTTGAGCACATTGCACTATTGTCTATACATACGATATTATTTAATTACATTCTATATACTACTAAGGTCAATTTGTTATGACTTGCACAAATTCAAAGAGTCCCAATAACCAAAGTTATCCGTATGTCTTGGTATTTAGGACACGTCTATTTTGGCAATTCTGTTACTATTTTTCTATGATGTTTTGACTTGTGAGCAAATTAATTAAATTATCAATTCTCTTTTTGGGCCGCGAGCGCGACTACGGGGACGCATTATATATTAAAAAAAAATTAAGTGGAAAAAAAGGGTGGACCAAAATAAAACACACGTATTCTCGGAATACGGTTTTCTAATAATTTTTTTCGAAAAACGTATTCTGAAAACACGTTCTAAAATTATTTTTCTAAATTAAAAAAAAAATATTTTCCGTTAATAGTCGGTATGTAAAAAAAATTATAAATATAAAACGTATTATGAGTATACGTTTTTAAAAACCCAAAAATTGATTTTTAGGTTGTTCAAAAACGTATTTTTGAAATACGCTTTATATATTCTATTTTTAATTAAGAAAAAGAAATTATATTAAATCGTAATTTTGAAATACGTTTTATTTAACACGTATTACTGAAATACGTTTTAAGTTAAAAAAAACGTCCCGAAAACGTGCATGCAATTTCATTAAAAATGCGTTTGAATAAAAAATAATATTTAATAAAAACATATTCTGAGAATACATTTTACAATTAAATTGTCGGTAAACGTATTCTGAGAATACGTTTTTCAATTAAATATAACAAAAAAAGTCTCTTCCACTCCATTTCATTTACGCGAACCACATAGAGCAGAGAGCGAGTTTGTTCAAACAACAAGGGAAAAATCGTTCGAAAAAAAAAACTCGATCCAATCCTCACCCCCGCGTGAACCGATAACAGCGACACGAGTCTCATTTCCGGTTAATTCATTCGCACGAGGTATATTGGCTTATCTTAACTTTTTACATTGTTTGGAGTTGTTTGGAGATGAAGAATTGTTATAATATGTTTGAATGTGGTGGTGTTTGAAGATTGGAAATTGCTAATTGATTATCGATTATGTGTGTATGTTGAATTGGAGATTGAAATTTTGTGTGTAAATTGTCAATTGTGTATTGTTTGGTTGTTGTTGGGGTTGAGATTTTTTGAAATTAGGGTTAAAATTAGGGCTTTCAATTTATCCGAATTATAGAGGAATTTTATGTTATTGTTCGATTATGAGTATTAGGTTTTGGAGGATTATTTGATTGGGACTATTTTTTTATTTCTTTTTGTTTTTTTGGTTTTTTGGTTGGAGTAAGAAAAATGAGTTTTAAATTTTAGACATTATGTATTGTTGTAATTGGAAAGAATTAAAAGTGTTTTTTTGCAACAAGTATAAATGGCGTATTCCGGTCCATACCTTGTTAATTTGTACTGGCGTTTTGGGAAGGAAATGTTAAGCAATTTTGTTTAATTTAAAGATCGTCCGAACGATTCATTTATTATTCCGGGGAGGATATCTTATGAACAATTGGTACAGATGATTAATGCAAAATGTCAGTTTGGAGAAGGTTGGACAATTCAGGAGATTAGTTTAATGATTAGCCAACCTGATGGTTCGTGGAATACTGCAATACTCAATAACTATAGTGTTCAATGGATTTATTACTTTTCTCCTATGTCCATGGTGTATTTGCATTTATCGTTGCAGGCAGTTACACCGGTTACACAGTTTGAGGATGTTACTCTTTGTTACAGGGGAGTGTTTGATGTCGAGGGTACGTCGACTTCTCATCTATGTAATTTTGGAGAAGGGACAAGCTCAACAGTGAGAGAATGGGCGGCAAATGAGGACGGGAAAGAAATTGATGAAGATTTCATTCCTTGTGAAGATGATTTCACATACGAGACCTCAGAAACCGAATCAGATAGATCAGTAAATAAGGAGAGTGAACCCGAGTTCATTGAAGAAGAACACCCCTTTCATAGTGGTGGTCGACACATATACCGCGAGATGGGTGAATGGGACCCGTCCAGGATAAATGTGAACGAGTATGCTATTCCATTCTGGAATGGCGACATTGAGACCATACGTTTGGGTGCAGTTTTTAGGAGCAAGTGAGAAGCCCAAACGGGTCTAATGGCTTGGAACGTCGATAGGTTGCGGGAGATTCGGACAAATGATTCAAATATGAAGTCATTCAAACTAGTCTGCAGATCTAATGAAGATATGCCTTGTGTGTGGAAGACTCGGGTGAATAAGTCCAAACGGCTTGATGAATTGTGAGAAGTAACTGAATAGACTGACCAACATACTTGTATGCAACAGGTGGAGAGAAATGACCACAGAAACGTGACAGCCCATATGATTTCAAAACTTATAATTAATAAGATTCAGAACAAAGTGGACTACAACGTTAACATGATCCAGGCCGATGTGAAGCAGTGTTGGAAAGTCGATGTCAGCTACAAGAAGGTATGGCATGGCAGGAAAAAAAAGCCATCGATAGTGTGTATGGACGTTGGGAATCGAGCTTCGCAGAACTCCCTCAATAAGCAAAAATTAATTACAAATATACGTGTTTTTTGTCTGTCACTATGAAACTTTTTTGTAATGTGTAGGTATTTTGCCGCGCTTCAAAGAGCGAATCCCAACACAGTTGTAGAGTGGAAAGGAGACTCTATCCTCCACTTAATTTCCCAATCAACCACCACAGAGATGAATGAGGCCCTCTTGAAACCAGTCACTGAAGATGAAATCAAATCAACTTTATTCCAAATGCCAGCTGATAAGGCTCCTGGTGAGGAAGGAATGAGCTCATTTTTCTACCAACACTTTTAGGAGCTGGTCAAAAAAGACTTTCTGGCAGCTATCATGAGCTTCTTTCACTCATGTATGATCCTAAAATACTGGAATCATACTATACTCACCTTGATCCCAAAGTCAATTCAGACCAATCAGCCTCTGCACTATTCTTTATAAAGTTATCTCAAAGGTATTGGCTCATAGATTGAAAGCATGTTTACCTCGTTGTATTAGTGATCACCAATCTGCTTTTATTGAAGGAAGACAACTTATGGATAATGTCATAATAGCACAAGAAGCATTTCATTATTTGAACAGACACTCTACAGGTCCAAACTTCTTTATGGCCCTCAAGCATGATCTAATTAAGGCCTTTGATAGGGTAGATTGGCTGAGTGTGTAGAAAATTATGATGCAGATGGGATTCCACAGAGATTTTGTTAAGCTGATAATGATTTGCATCTCCACTACTTCTTTCTCTTTCAAAATCAATGGCACAATGAGTGGTTATGTAAGGCCATCTAGAGGTATTAGGCAAGGGGACCCATTGTTCCCTTACCTGTTTTTAATTGTGGCTGAAGTTCTCACAGCTCTGATATTGCAACCAGTTGACTCTGGACATCTCAAGGGGCTCAAACTTTCTAGGAATGGTCCTTTACTCACTCATCTACTGTTTGCAGATGATTCAATTTTCTTCTACAAAGCAAGTGTTGACCAGGCTACAGTTCTTATGACAATCCTTGAAAAATACAGGCTCTTCACTGGACAGGCTGTCAACTTGAATAAATCAGCCAACTTTTTAGCAGAAACACTCCACAGCCCCTGCAAGCTTCTTTATGTACAACTCTTAATGAAATAGTCTCCCACAGATCAACAACGTACCTTGGTTTACCACTTGCCATTGGTAAATCAAAGAATGAGGTGTTTGGATACCTGTTGTCTTCTGTTAAGAACAAATTACAGAATTGGAAGTCCAAACTTCTGAGCCCTGCTGGAAAAGAAGTTCTGCTTAAAGCAATTATTCATGCATTACCTATCTTCACTATGTCATGCTTTAAGCTTCCTCTCACTCTTTGTTCTGAAATTTCTCAGCTATGTGCAAAGTTCTGGTGGCAGAATGGAGATCAACAAACAAGAGGAATCCATTAGAAGAAGTGGAGCTTTCTTGCTTTGCCAAAGAATGATGGTGGTCTGAGATTTTTAGACTTGCAGGTGTTTAACCAGGCTCTTTTATGTAAACAATTGTGGATAGTGGCATCTCAGCCTGATCTTTTAGTCAGCAGAGTTCTGAAAGATATATATTTCCCTCAAACAGCAATCACTCATACTACTAAATCCTCCAATCGGTCTTGGATGTGGAATTGTTGGATGGAGATGATCCCTTTCTTTTCCAAATGGATGAAAACATAAATCAAGAATGGGGCAGCTACCAAGATAGAGGACTTCAATTGTGTTCCAACCTTGCAGAAACCTTTTCCTACCCTCATCCCTATTGCTAGAGACCACCTTATCTGGGTTAAGGACCTTATTCACTCAATGGCTCATCTTGGAATGACTGGCTGGTAAGGTAGGTGTTTGATCCTTGTGACAGTGAAGCTATTCTCAATATCTCTTCTCTTCACCCTGGAAGATCAAACAGAATTTACTGGGGCTTGGATAGAAAAGGTCAATTTTCTGTGTGCTGTACTTATAAATTTCTTTCAAAAATCATGCTAGCTCAACTTGATATTCCTGAAACCAGCTCTAGTTCATCTATCTGCAAGGCTATTCAATTCAGGCTTTCGAAAGTGAAAGTAGCTAGGAAGTTAAAGCACTTTCTTTGGAAATGCTTATCAGGTACACTTCATGTGGCCAGCCTGCTTAGAAGAAAGAAGATTGATGTTGATCACATTTGTTCTGTCTGTGGTGAGGCATCAGAAACCATTGCTCATGTTCTCTTATCTTGCTCTAGAGCTAGTAGGGTGTGGGACATTTGTCATGTTTCTTGACAAGGATTAACTGACAACACTAGTTCTTTTCATGACTGGTGGTTCAAAATTTGCACCCTTGATCATTCTGAAGTCTCAGAGGCAAGGATTCAACTGTCTACGTATATCCTCT